AGCATGTATAACCTTAAGACAGTGGCAATGTTACCACTGAAGACTAAATTATGACAAACAGAACTTAAGATCATTCTCATTTATTTTATTTTAATTTTACCTTAAGGCTAGCTTGAAAAATATCCCTTATAAATAAAAGCAGCATGCAAAAGATGTATCCATTATTATATATTGACAGCTTAAATAAACATTTTCTCAAACCAACAATTTAAAGTATCCTACTTATGACAAGAATTTCATGAATTGCTGAGAGGTCTTGTCTCTTGCTCACACCATCTTCCCAGAAACAACAGCTGTAATGCTGAGAAGGTTCCCTATCACAAAGAGTAAGTCAGACTTCCAGAGTTCCTAAGTCAAATATTGACTCCCCATCTGACATTCTGAAAAAGACAGGTTAAATTCATTCTCACTCATTTTATTTCATAAAATGCTAAGTCTAGCCACAGCACAATTACACACTGCAGTAACTGTAGCTCAACAAATGAGGTAAGGCACAGAATAATCAACAACTGAAGGGAATTTAAAAAGTGGCTAAAGACTTGCAATCAAAACATTCAAAAAATGCTAAAAGAGGATTGGGAATTACTAATTACTCAGAAGAGGTTGTCTATGCACGCCCAAGGGATAGATTTTCTTGACAACATGTTGTCCAAGGCAGGCAATGGAAATATTCTTAGGCAACTGTATCCAGAATAAAAGTTCTCACTATTAGAGGTTCACTTCCTCTTACCTTAACCTGACACTCAAAAAGCTAAACTATCCTGTAAAACAATCATGCTCGAGGGAAAACCTTTTAGGATACCGAGTCAGGTTTGACTCATTCGACTTTCAGTATCAACCCCACTGTGATAACAGCTGACTCACACCCAGTTATGTGAAATGCTTTTTCATCAACATCATCGCTTAAAACAATAAATGGAGTAAAACTAAAAGCTAAAATAGGTGTCCTCTGAATGCAGACACACTGAAACCAGAGGATGATAACTTTATATTTGTCTTCTGCTCACAACATGGATGTTTGGATGTTTCCAAACTTGGAATGTTTCACTATGTTAACTTCTAACATAAGTATGAAGAATCTTGGTATGTATCCTACAAAAACAACTTCTGTAATATCAGGAAATGTTTTGCTATACAATGCTTTCTTAAGCTTCAGCACAAAAAGCAGAAACTAGTAAAGATAAACTAAAATCCGGAAGGCAATCAAACAATCTATAAATATGCTAAAAATACTAAAAGCTGTGTGCAGTATAACACCAAATTATGTAGTAAGCATATTGGCCAAACTCACTTCCAACACATTTCTACTTCCAAAAAGACAACTACATTAGTGATTTTGTGAGTCACAGGAAAGTCTGAAGCTAATTTTTATAACTGATGTTAAATCACTTAAAAGTCTAACTATTATTTGAAATACTTCAATAGCTTCTGGAGTCATCTAGAGTTGGGTAACAAGACAAAGCTTTGGGATGTTTTTTGTGCTCAGGATAATACAATTGCTAGAGCTCCCACAACAGTATTAATCAGAAATTCTGTGATTTGCATATTTACAAATTTTTTTTATATGTGGTTCTACACACAGAATGCAAGACTACATGGAGTGCTATGAAAGGCCGACACGCACATATACATTAAAACAACAATTATTCTTCAATCAGCTCAAGAGAAACTTTATCCTACAACCAAAAGAAGAGACCAACTGAAGAAACGGGGGGGTTTAAGAAAGGAAGAAAAATGTACGCTGTGAAGAGTTCAGAATTCAACAGAAAGTCACATTTTGGTCCCGTATTTCAGACTCAAAATTCCACAATTCTCTATGCCAGAATTTCTGCAGAATGACTATGCAACAGTTTCATGTTAAAGTTGCTAGGTATTAAAAGAGAAAAGCCTATTAAAAGCTAATACCCAAAGAAAAGTAACAAGAATTCTTGAAGTGCTCCACCGTGTCATTTACTCCATTTATACATATACTTCTACAAAGCATTGTGCAAAGTACTAGTTCCAAGAATAAAGAAAAAGAGACGTCTCTCTTTTAGCAGACACTTAAACATTTCACTTTACTGGGGGAATTCCAAATACCACTCCAGGCCCCGAGCCTCCTTGTACCAGTTGATGTGAAGGTCTCTTCTGAAGTCACATGCCCATGAACTACACCCCTACTCCATTAATATTAGCAACATGAAGGTATCTTAGTATTTAGGAATACTGTAATATCAACTCCTTTAGGTGGCAAGGACATGAAAAATACAGAAAAGAACTTACACTTCTTTAACTATATGATCCATAAACAACTGAATGTCACTTATTAAAGAGCAATAGCATTAGAACCTTCTCTATCATGTTTAAACAGAAGAGTGCATCTTAAGTATTGGGGGGGAAAAAAAAGGAAAAAAAAAAAGACTTCCTCGTTTTCTGCTTTTGGTTTGAAAATGGAATTATCAGTTTCTGAATACTCAAAAGGATGGTTATTAAATATTTGGGGGGGGGGGGGGGAAAGGAAAAAAAAAAAAAGACTTCTTCGTTTTCTGCTTTTGGTTTGAAAATGGAATTATCAGTTTCTGAATACTCTTTTAATTAAAAGGGAGAAGGACACTCTGTATCAGTATTAATAAGCATTGCAAGGTCTGTGTAGGATGATCAATACGTCTGCCCTGCAAATTACTCATTACACAGAAAGTAACCATTTTCTGGTACTCAGAGCCACACTGCAAATTAAGAGACTTAAAAATCTATTTTTCAGCACTAGAACCATCTTACTGTGCGACCTTGGGCAAATCACATCTTCACTTGCTGCCTCTCGAGATAAGATCCTTGAATGAAGAGTTCTTACGAAGACTTCAGTAATGCTGTAACTTTACCAGATGAGATTAAATAAAAGCATCTTTATCAGTAGTTTACATATTCCATCCCCATTAAAAAAAAAAAATTAATGAGATGGATCTTGTATCTAAAGTAACACAGGGATCCAATGAGTAGCTTTCAAAGCCTTAAATCCTGGCACAAGTAGGAAAAATTCCTGTTCCTGGGATCAACCAGCACAGTCAAGCAAACAACGCACATCCTTTGACTATTGGTACGGAGGGCAATAAAACACTCTAAGATTCTGGAGAATAGGTTTTAACCACTAGCTCTCTCGCTCAGTGTTTTTTACACTTGTCCACATTTTCAGTTAGGCAACAATGCAGTTACATCAAGTTTCACTACCAGGCTGCCCGTAAGTTACACTTGGCATCAGTTCTTTATGTTTTTTTCTATAGCAAACCTGGAAAATGAGAGGAGCTTTTTCCATCACTTTCACAGTTCCTACTCCTAAAAGGATTTAATATTAGAACTCTATTAAAAGTCACCTAACCAACTCTAAGAGCAACCAGTGGAGAACATCCTACAAGGAATGCTGGGTATGGCTTTATAGAGAAATAGAGCTTTCTTATGTTACCCAAACTCCTACATAAACCACATTCTGTTCATAGAGTCACAGTTCAACCTAGGTTTAGCTTTAAAGTTAGCTTTAGCTTTGTGTAACAGCCTCTGAAGGGCTGGAAGTAAAAATGAAAAAACAGTGGATCCTTCATTGCCCAATAAGGGAAATTAACAAGCTTCGGGTTTTAGCTTTACAACTGCGACACTTTAATTATATACATTAAAACTGCCGCACCAAAGACTGACCCCGCTTCACAGTACTCACACTTCTGGCTAGAAAAGCAGCCACCTGGGATCCAATCGACTAAGGCTTTGTTTCAGGCTACACTTTTTCCCTACACGGGACTGATCGGCCAGGTTGCAAGCCAGGTCACGGCAGTAATCCGTCTTCCCAGCAGCTTCTCCTTGAGAAGCTAGGCCCGCTGCCCCAACCAACCCCTGGGACTGGAAGGGGAGCCTCGCTCTCCGTTACCCCTACGGGAGTCCTAGCGCCAGAACGGGAGGAAAAAGCGTCTCTTCCCAGGGCTTTCGGCCACGTAACGCGGCACGGACGCACCCAGGCCCACCCCAGCAGCACGGCCTCCCCGCCTCCGCTCCCTCTCACGTCTCAAGGATACATTTTCGAGGCGAGGGCTCCCTCCAGCCCTGGCTGCTACTGAATCCGGCACCGCCGCCCCCTCCGGGCGGCCTCCCCGGAGGGTTGCCTCCCCGATCGCCGCCGCCTCGGCTCCTACCCCAGTGCCCTCCGCCCCTGTACGGCCGGCCTCGGAAGCGGAATCGGTCCAGGGCATTGTGGCTGCGCTCCCAAAAGGAGAGCCGGGGGGCCGGCTCGGAGTGCGAGCCCGACGGCACAC